CGTCATCTCCCCGTAGTCTTCCGTCATCTTCCCGCAGTCTTCCGTCATCTTCCCATCAGCTTCCCGTAGTCTTCCGTCAGCTTCCCATAGTCTTCCGTCCTCTTCCCGTAGTCTTCCCGCAGTCTTCCGTCATCTTCCCGTAGTCTTCCGTCATCTTCCCATCATCTCCCGTAGTCTTCCGTCATCTTCCCACAGTCTTCCGTCATCTTCCCGCAGTCCCGTAGTCTTCCGTCATCTTCCCGCAGTCTTCTGTCAGCTTCCCGTCATCTTCACGTAGTCTTCCGTCATCTTCCGGTAGTCTTCCGTCATCTTCCCGTAGTCCTCCGTCATCTTCCCACAGTCTTCCGTCAGCTTCCCGTCATCTTCCCGTACTCTTCCGTCATCTTCCCGTAGTCTTCCGGCATCTTCCCGCAGTCTTCCGTCATCTTCCCGTCAGCTTCCTGTACTCTTCCGTCATCTTCCCGTAGTCTTCTGTCAACTTCCCGTCATCTTTTTCGTAGTCTTCCGTCATCTTCCTAGTCTTTTCATCATCATCATCCATCCTCACGCTTAGAGGTGAAAGTTAGAGGTTAGGGTTAGAGGTTAGGGTTAGAGGTTAGGGTTAGAGGTTAAGGTCAGAGGTTAGGGTTAGAGGTTAAGGTTAGAGGTTAGGGTTAAAGGTTAGGGTTAGAGGTTAGGGTTAGAGGTTAGGGTTAGAGGCCAGGGTTAGAGGTTAGGGTTAGAGGTTAGAGTCATCTTCCGGTAGTCTTCCGTCATCTTCCCGTCATCTTCCCGTAGTCTTCCGTCATCTTCCCGTAGTCTTCCGTCATCTTCCCGTAGTCTTCCGTCAGCTTCCGTCGTCTTCCCGTAGTCTTCCGTCATCTTCGTGCAGTCCCGCACTCTTCTAGTCTTCCGTTATCTTCTCCTTGTCTTCCGTCGTCTCCCGCAGTCTTCCGTCATCTTCCCGTAGTCTTCTGTCAGCTTCCCGTCATCTTCCCGTAGTCTTCCGTCATCTTCCTAGTCTTTCATCATCATCATCATCCATCCTCACGGTTAAAGGTTAAAGTTAGAGGTTAGGGTTAGAGGTTAGGGTTAGAGGTTAGGGTTAGAGGTTAGGGTTAGAGGTTAGGGTTAAAGGTTAGGGTTAGAGGTTAGGGTTAGAGGTTAGGGTTAGAGGTTGGGGTTAGAGGTTAGGGTTAGAGGTTAGGGTTAGAGGTTAGGGTTAGAGGTTAGGGTTAGAGGTTAGGGGTTAGGGTTAGAGGTTAGGGTTAGAGGTTAGGGTTAGAGGTTAGGGTTAGAGGTTAGGGTTAGAGGTTAGGGTTAGAGGTTAGGGTTAGAGGTTAGGGTTAGAGGTTAGGCGTGTCAAAAATCTGCTGCGGGACCCCCCCTCCCCCCCTCAGACTCCCCCTAACCACCACTTAGAACACGCCTCGCCCCTTTGCAGAGACTAACTTTGCTTTTGCAAAGGGGTCGGCGGATTTGTTTTTTTAAGCAAAACAAAGAAACACATTGAACACCAAGCACAAACAAAATCCGGAACCACACCCAAAAGCGAACAAAACAAAAGGGGACAGGAATTCAGGAAAGGAACCACACCCAAAAGTTTGGATTCACTCTCAGCGATTGGACCGTTTCGGGCGATGGTTGGACCGTTTCGGGCCCTTGGGAGGTTCCATGTTTTTCCCTGGCAGAGCCAATGTCTGTCAATATGCGAGTTGTGTTGGCAGGGAAAGCTCGCAGCGTTCCAGCGTGGCCAGTGATTGCAGTTTGGCTAGCCAAAGGGATCCGGACCGCATTTCCCACAGTGCTAATGCGCCCCATCCGCAGTTAGATGAATGTGGGTGGCGCGTTTGCAGCATGCAGTTTGCAGCATGCAGTTTGCATGGGGTTTGCAGCAGGGTTGCAAGGTTGTCACATGGCTACGAATGTTCAATGGCAATGCCCTCCAACACGAATCCATGTACATGACGTCCACCAACCCAAATGCCATGCTAAACTGTTGTGTGCGTGTAGCTAAGGACTGGGTTCCAGGACATGTTTGCCTTTTGGCCGCTGCCGGGAAGCTGACTGTGACGTATGTCGTCGACGGCTATACTTGCCGCAAACATCTTGATCCGTGGTCGGAGCAGATCCGCCTAACAGAGCTGCCAGAGGAGCCTTGGGCTGGGGCATCAACGTTTTGAGGGGTTCCCAAAGTTGTTTTTGGGACCCGATGGTTTCCTTTGCCACCCTTTAGCTTGGGTAAAGTTGAGGATGTCACCTTGGATCCAGGTGGTACTTTTGTTTTCTTTCTCGGTGTTGCACTAGTCCACCCGCAAGCCACTTCAACAACTTCGGCGCTTTCCAAGGCAGATCCGGAAATCGGGCTGGGGCAGGCCTATCGATTTGTCTTTGGCCAAATTTTCATCGAGCCTTGGCAGAGATCCGGCCGTGAAGAGCGATCGACATGGCCATGGGGCATAGCCTATGGCTCCATTTTGGGGTGGATGAACATCCATTTGCCACCTATTTTGATGTTCACCAGGGGTACAGAGTTTTGACCCATACCCATATTCCACATGTTTGTGACTCAACGGCATGGAAGCACGGGGACGGCCGGTTTGCTTAGAACCTTTGGTCGCATAGGTGCTTTGTGTGCATTGATGCTCCGAGAACATACCGGCTTGCTTGCCAAATGCAAACTTGTGGATCCTTTGGGCAAGAGAGAACTTGTGCACACCGCTGAAATCATTTTTGCAGGTTTGTTGTTCACTTCTCTCGGCAACGGTGCCTGGTGCGAGGATGCAAAGCAGTTTCCTAGGCATCATCATGTAGCTGCGCCCCCAATGTGGGCGTTGTTGCTCTTCATGTCAGTGTTCTTGCTGCTCTTGCTGTTATTTTTGTTGCGGAAGGAGTCTTTCCAGCAAGCCATTTGACACGTTTGCATTAGGCAAGCAAGCCAGTATGTTCTCGGAGCATCCATATGCACAGCGTATCGAAGCGGGACAGAGGTTCCACCTTGTCCAGGGCGTACAACAGTCAGAGGCTCCATGCCAAAGAAGCGGGGGGTGGAGTTCCTAGCGGAGCAGACCAGCAGCAGCAGCAGCAGCGGCGCATTGCACGGAGCTCTGCATTATGCCGTTTGCAGGGCAATGTTTCACTGTTGCCAGCCAAGGAGCCGTACTCATTGCAGCAGGCTTTGGAGACTGCGCGTCGCCTGGAACAGCAGCAGCACGTGCTGTGCTGCCACGAGGCTTCCGTGCTAAAGGCGCAGCTCAGACATGTGATGACAGCATCATGTGGCTCAGAAGTGATTGGTGGCATGGAATCCCCACCAAAATGATGTCCACCAAAGGGTCCCCCATCAAATTCGCCCCATATGAGCATGGCTAGCGGGCTTTTCAAGCGTGACGGATGTCCACGTGTAGACATACACTGGCACAGGCACGGAAGCTTCACGATGAAGCGGAGAGGCTTGTGGGGGGTGGTGTTTATGGTGAGGGTGGGCTGATGTACTGGAAGCTGCGGTTTCAGAGTTTATGGCAAATGCGGCCAAGTGGCTCACAGGGATGTCAGCAGTTCACTGCAGAGAGATTGTACTTTTTTCACGCCACTTTGGCGAAGTTGGCAACATAACCCAAGATGTCTTAGCATCGCGGAGTTTGATACAATGCGACCTCGGTCTTGCGAGCCAGGGCATATCGGGACATCGGCGCTCTCTTTGTGGACAACGAGAGCCCGTCCTTCAACGAGAGCTTCCAAAGGAGTGTCACTGCTCGTTTTCCCACGTGTTTAGCTCAAACTGTCCACTTACTTTGTTTCCAGGCTTTGCTTTACGTCCCTGGGATTCCAGTGTATCATTTGTGCCAAAGGGGTATGTCTTTCTTTGAGGGTACTCCTTGTTTGTTGTCGTAAAGGGGAAACCAGAAGGACAACCATTTTCGGGGGATCCCCTAAAAAGACACACACCCAGAGAGCGTGATTCTTAGATTGAACGGGCATGTCGTCCCACCCACCTTGAGCAGCGTGCCAGGAAACCAGCGACAGTGGCAAGGCTCGCTGGTGGCGTCCTTTTTGACGGGAGGCCCCGTGCATCAGACGTGTACCAGGGTGGCAGCTCGACCTCTGTTTTGGGCTTCCGCTGGTGCGGAACATCATATGGGTATGGGTCAAAATTCAGCCACCAGGGGACCGCAGGTTTCAGTGCTTGGTTCCATTTACCAGGGTTCCATTTTGGCAGCCATGTTTTGGTCGTCGTTTTTGGAGTGAGCTGGAAACTTGCGGGGGTCATATTCAAAGGGAACATCTAGCGACTCTGGGCGTCGGTTCCTCTTGGCTCCTGGCTGAAAGCCCAGGAGAAGCCTGCAATTGCGGTTTCATGGCAACTTGGCCGGAGTGCTGTTTGGACGAAGCGGGTTCGAAGGGAGCTGGTGGGTTCCAGCATCAAGTCGGCTAGGTATGCTGGACGCTTGCAAGACAATGTGAATAAGAATAGATGTGGGTGCCGGGCTTCTGAGTTGGCCAGCAACAAAGATGCTGCTCTGAACTTGGTTGAGATTGTTGTGCTGGCACATCGTTTTTCGTTTCTGTTTGTTGTTGGACAACTAAGTATGCAACAATTGCATGTAATTGCGCATGTTCTGGTAAGGGCAGCAAGGTTTGTGCAAAGTAAGCGTGAGTCTTCCCATCAGACATCATTTGGGTATGGGTCAAAATTAAAGCACCAGGGGACCGCAGGTTTTAGTCCTTGATTCCATTTACTGGGGTTCCAAAATGGGGTTACCCCATTCTTATTTTTCAGCCACCAGAAATCATTTCGCAGTAGCCACGTCTCTGACGTGATCCCACGTGAGTTTCGTCTGGAAGGCTTCCATGACTTGCTCAGGCTGCCCTGGCAGCGGTGGCCGACCACAGCGAGGGCTTTCTGGTCCGCCGCTTGCTGGAGGAGCATTCGGAGCTGAATTCCTATGGCTGCTACCAGGCCGGGTAAAGCTCTCTTCAGCGAGACGAGCAAATCTGGCTGTGAAAACCGGAACGGTTTGGGAGCCTAGGTGTCCATTTTTGGTTGTTCAAAAAATCGATGGCGATTCCTGGTTTACCTGGTTTTTTCTCATCTACCAGAGAAACCCATCTATTTCCCCTCAAAGGACACCTACGTTTGGGTCCCCTTGCCTCCGACTGGGCACCGGGCAGTGACTTCCGCGGGAGGTCTCGCTCTTCCTGGGCACGGGCGGCCGGAAGCTGGAGCACTACCGGCGCAAGCACCCCAGCGTCGCGGAGGCGCCAAAGGAGGTGGGGCGACGAACGGCTTGGCTGTGGCTCAAAATTAAAGAGCTAGGGTTACGCAGGATTTAGTCTTGGGCTCCATTTACCAAGGTGCCATTTTGGTACCACTTTTTTGAGCCACAGCCATATGGCTGTGGGTTAAGATTAAATAGGGGCAAGCCGCAGGTTTTGGTCCACGCTACCAGGGTTCCATGTTGGTACCGGTTTTTTGAGCCGCAGCCATATGGCGGGGCAACGAACGCATGGCTGCGGGTGTCAAAAAACCGGGACCAAAATGGAGCTCTGGTAAGTGGACCAGGCACGGCGGCACGGGCATCTTGGGATTCGTTGGGAGTTTTGCAAGTTGGCTGTGGTGGTCAAAACCGTTTTGGGATCCCATTTTGGTTGGTAGGTGCATTCACCACCCATTTTAGTCCATTTTAGTGAGGATTGGGATGTTCACTGGGGGTACGTGGTTTTGACCCATGGCCAAGCAGTGCCCTCGGGCCGATGCCTATTGGCCATGTTGGGTTCTACTACCTGGGTTGATCTGGCATAATAGCACAGGCTTTTTGCACCTTAACCATTCCGGGACCCCTGCCATGTTTTTGTTTTCCTTTGGGTTTCCCTTCACATCCCTTTTTTTGGGTACCTCCAAAAAGCTGATGATGGTTTCCTTTGGCAACCAAAAAGGGGTTCCCCAGAAGACACGCGTAGTACAGGTAGAACCCCATGAGGTCTTCTCCTCCAACACGCGGAACTCCGTGAAGAGCTTCGAGAAGGGCTCCTGGCGCCGGGTGGTGGTGGACGACCTGGTGCCTGTGAACAAGAAAGCCCGGCCTCGCGCCTGCAATCCCAAAGGCGGGTCCGGGGGCCCGAAAGGTTTGCGGGGGATGGGGGGGCGGGTTCAGGTGGAGGGTGAGGGGGGAGAACAGGGAGAAGCGGTGCAAGATGTGAGTTCGCATGCTTTTTGAGTTCTTATTTTTGTTGGAGTTGGTACCTCCTTTCGGGCTTGCTTGGCAAGAGGAGCCACTTTGCAGCCCTCTTACATTTTGACACACACACACACACTCTCATATGGCTCTGAATTTCAAGGGGTGGAACCACCTCAAAGTGGTGGTGAATCCCCGGCTAAATGCCGTCCACAAAAGGGTCCAGAATGAAAATCCATGGCTATCATAGCCCTAAATTGGCGGGTTTGTTTTGGTGGTAAGTTGGGGGCTACCTTCTCCGTATGGCTTCAAAAGCTGGGGTTCAACCTTGCCAAGACGCCAATCCTAGCGGGGCACCAAACCAAAATCCGTGCTCATGCGTGTGCGTGTGTGTGTGTGTGTGTGTGTGTGTGTGTGTTTTTTGTTCATTCAGGGTACCCTTAGCAGGTTGGTATAGCCCACAATGACATGGCTATGGTTTTCATCGGAATTCTTGAAAGTGGTTGGTGGACATAACTCCCCACCGAATTCTGTCCACCTACTTAGGTCTCTGGTCAAAAAGTCACACCCAGATTGCCCACAGAAAGATCGTATACGCCTTCTCGTGCCGATTCAGGCAAGGCCCTGTGGCCCTGCATCATTGAGAAGGCCTTCGCTAAGGCCTGCGGCTCCTACCAGAACGCGGACTTCGTTGACCTCACTGAGGCCCGGACACTGGGCCGCGCATTTTGCACCTGCAAACCCTCTCCGAGGATTTGAGGCCACCATTTGGGAGGGGTTCTTCACTAAGATTCAAGGCCAAGGTTGTGGGAGCGTCGGAGCCGGGGCCGTTTGGTACCAAAGACTGGGCTCAAAGGTAATCCTTAGTCCTTACCTGGGGTTACGCAAGGAACCGTGTGTAGTGGCTTTTGTTTCTTCCTTTTCTGGGATTATGGATGAGGATTGGCCAACCCAAACCATTTTGAACCGCCCAGAAAGAAGAGGTCCGCTTCTTTTCTTCGAGCGAGGCTTTGGTGATCCTCACGGGGCAGAGCACCGTGCGCGTGGACCTGGCAAGGCTGAAGGAGAAGGACTGGCTGCGTAGTTGTTTTCTTGTCCTTGTGGGTTATCAAGGGGTGTTGCCCGTATTTGTTTCCTTCTTTTTTTCCTCTTTTTCCCCAACAGCTGAAAGCTAAGGGGTCTCAGCCCAGATAGGCTCCGGGGTGGTCCGGGGCGGCCCTGAGGTGAGGTTCCACGAGGGTTCCACCAGGGTTCCACCAAGGTTCCACCAAGGTTCCAGCAGGGTTCCGCGAGGTTCTGAAGGGGCGGGGTGGTCCGGGGCGGGTTCCACCAGGGTTCCACCAAGGTTCCACCAGGGTTCCACGAGGTTCTGCAAGGGCTGCGGGGTGGTCCGGGGCGGGTTCCACCAAGGTTCCACCACAGTTCCACGAGGTTCTGCAAGGGCTGCGGGGCGGTCCGGGGCGGGTTCCACCAGGGATCCACCAGGTTCCACCAAGGTTCCACCAAGGTTCCACGACATTCTGCAAGCGCTGCGGACCAGGGTTCCACCAAGGTTCCACCAAGGTTCCACCAGGGTTCCACAAGGTTCTGCAAGGGCTGCGGGGTGGTCGGGGGTGGGTTCCACCAGCCTTCGACGGGTTCCACCAGGTTCTGCAAGGGCTGTGGGGTGGTCCGCCACGGTTCCACGACATTCTGCAAGGGGGGGTGGTCCGGGCAGTCCTGAAGTAAGGTTCCACCAGGGTTCCACCAAGGTTCCACCAGGGTTCAACGAGGTTCTGCAAGGGCTACGGGGTGGTCCGGGGCGGGTTGTAAAAGGGTTAAAAAAAAAGGGTGGTCCGGGGCGGTGGCACCAGGTTCCCACCAAGGTTCCACCAGGGTTCCACCACAGTTCTACCGGGGTGGCCCGAGTAAGTTTCCACGACGCTTCCACCAAGGTTCCACCAGCGTTCCATCCGGGCGGGTTCCACCAGGGTTTTATCAGGGTTCCACCAGAGTTACAGCAGGGTTCCAGGGTTCCACAAAAGTTTGCAAGGGCTGGGTTCCAGCAGTTTCCACACGAGGGTTCCACCAGGGTTCTCCACCAGAGTTCCACCAAAGTCTGCAAGGTCAATGGTTTGAGCGCACTTTCACTGTACACCAAGACTGAAAATCTCCAAACCCTGCTCGTGGAACTCTCGTGGAGGCTAGTGTGGGACGCTTACCTTGCCTCAGGACTGCTCTGTGGAAATCTTGTGGAACCCTCGTCTTGGTGGAACTCTGGTGGAATGGTGGCTTGGATTGGTGGTTTGCTCCCCGGGCCCCAGTCGGGCTTCGACTAGCGTCGGGCCCCGATGGCGCCGTCCCGACGGCACAATCGGCCCCGATCGGGCCGGCACCGTCGGGCCCCAATCGGGGACGATCGGGGCAACAGCTAAAGCAACATCCTAAGCAAAACCGTGCGCTATGATTGGTGGCTTGGATTGGTGGTTTGCTCCCCGGGCCCCGGTCGGGCTTCGACAAGCAGCGTCGGGCCCCGATGGCGCCGTCGGGCCCCGATCGGGGCGCGACGGCGGAATCGGGCCCTGATCGGGCCGGCACCGTCGGGCCCCGATCGGAAAAACCAACATCCTAAGCAAAACCGGCTGTGCACTATGATTGGTGGCTTGGATTGGTGGTTTGCTCCCGGGCCGCGGTCGGGCTTCGATTGCAGCGTTGGGCCCCGATGGCGCCGTTGGGCCCCGATGGCTGCATGTGCCTTAACAGCTAAAGCGACATCCTAAGCAAAACCGGCTGTGCACTGTGATTGGTGGCTTGCATTGGTGCATGATTTGCTCCCCGGGCCCCGGTCGGGCTTCGATTGCAGCGTCAGGCCCCGATGGCGCCATCGGGCCCGGGGCCCGACGGCTGTACCTCAGCAGCAAAAGCAGCATCCAAAGCACTATGATTGGTGTCTTGGATTGCGGCCCAATGGTAAGTGGGACCCAAGCTGTTGTGGAACCTTTCCTTTGCAGAACCTGGTGGAAACCTTGTGGAACCCTTGTTATGGAGCCTTGTGAACCTTACCTCATGCCCCGGACTGCAGCTTTGCGGAACCCTTGGAACCCAAAGCCCGCCAAGTAGTACTAAGCCTGGAGGCCCAACTGATACAGAAATTTGTGCTCGAATCCTTTCGGCACAAAAAGCGCCCGAAACGTTAACGACCTGGCGCTAGTGTAGTGACCAGAATTCGGGCAGTTGTTGAAATTGCGCTCGGTTGCGCAGATTCAACAACCTGATCTGATTTGCTACAAAGCCAAATCCTTTCGGGCCGCGTCGTCTGAGCCCGTGAGCAAGTCTATACAGCGAAAGTGTGCTCAAAACCAACCTTTCAACCTACCTGCTTCATCCTTCATCGTTAAGTTCCCATTGTTGCAGCTAAAGTCACGGGTCCACCCTAAGGGCGCCAACCTAACATTGAGTGCCAACCTTTAGGTCCCGCGGTGCTTGAACCTTCATGGTCAGGCCTCCAATGTCCAGAACTAAAGGCGCAGATCCAATCCAAGAGCTCTCTAAGCTTCCCAAAGATAGATTCCAACCTTCTGGGCTCCATGCAACCTTTCAACTCCCACCTGTTTTAATACTGCGGATGTTTTTGAACTGGTCCGGCCGGGCCGGGCGCTTGCCAATCGGACCTAGTACAAAACACCAGTTTAACTTCCTTTTGTTTATTTGCTGGCTGGGCCCGGCGTATCTGCTGCGGACCTAGTATAAAATACTAGTTCACCTATTTAGCTGTCCGGGCATGTATTTGCAGACGCCGTAGGTGTCCCAAACTGAAAGTTTGCCCACCCCAAACCACATACTTTCGGACGCCTATTGTTTTGGGCCGTGTCTTGAAAATCACTTTTTTTAGGTGTCCCAAACTGGGGGTTTGCCCGCCCCAAACCACATACTTTCGGACACCTATTGTTTTGGGCCGTGTCTTGAAAACCACTTTTTTTAGGTGTCCCAAACTGGGGGTTTGCCCGCCCCAAACCACATACTTTCGGACACCTATTGTTTTGGGCCGTGTCTTGAAAACGTTCGGTTTTGCTTAGTGTTCCGCCCATGAGCAAAGCGATCTCCTGAGCCATCAATTTACTGCTCCACTGGCTTTTCAGACGGCGCACGACGCATTGCTTCCCTGCACAGCAAACCGTGGAACCTTTGTGGAACCTTTGTAGACCATTTGTGGAGCCCTTGTGGAACTGTACAGTCTTGTAGAACCTTACCTCAGCCTCGTCGTGGAACCCTTCCTTGTGGAACCCAGTGCCCAACCCTTGTAGAACCTTGTGCCAAACCCTTGTAGAACAACCCTTGCGGAACCTGTATAGCCCTGAACCCTTGTGACCCTTGTGGAACGCTTGTGGGAATCCCTCGTGGTGGAACCCTTGTGGATAAAATTGTGAAACCTTGCCTCAGGGCCACCCCGGACCACCCCATAGCCCTTGCCAGAACCTCGTGGGTCCCTTGCCGTATGCTGTGGAACTAACCCTGTGCTGTCCTTGGTGTGGTGGAATCCTCGCCAACCCTTGTGGAACATTGTGGAACCCTCCCATAGCCCTCGCGGAACCACCCTTGCCAAACCCTGTAAAAAAAAACATGTGGATCTCTGGTGAGACCCTCGTACCAGGGTTCTACCAGAGTTCCACGAGGTTCTGCAAGGACTGCGGGGTGGCGGGCAGTCCTGATTTAAGGTTCCACGAGGGTTCCGCCAGAGTTCCACCAGCGCCAGGGTTCGACCAGGGTTCTACCAGAGTTCCACCAGGGTTCCACCAAAATTTCACCAGGGTTCCATGAGGTTCTGCAAGGTCCGGGGCGGGATTGAGGTAAGGTTCCACGAGATTTCAACTAGGGTTCTATCAGGGTTTTTAGCGCACTTTCACCAGACAACGCGGCCCGGTGGGGTTTGGGCTCGAAGGGCTCCACAAGGGCTGCGGGCGCACAAGACGAGGACAGCGCAGCCCGATCGGGGCCGCTCCAAACTCACCGCCGCCGCGTGAACCCTTCTCTTGGAACCCTCGTGCAACCCAGTGCGAAACCCTTGTGGAACCTTACCTGAGGCTCGACGGCTGTAAAGCAGCGTCTAAAGCAAAACCGGCGGCGCGCTGTGACTGGTGGCTTGGATTGGTGGTTTGCTCCCCGGGGCCCGGTCGGGCCCCGATTGCACCGTCGGGCCGCGATCGGGGCCGATGGCGCCGTCAGGCCTCGATCGGGGCCCGTCGGCTGCACCTTTGTGCAGTTAAGGCGGCGTCCCAAGCAAAAGCGGCAGCGCGCTGTGATTGGTGGCTTGGATTTGTGGCTTGTCTGAAGCTCTTCACTGTCAAGTCTTTCTCTAGTCTCGAACCTCAAGAACAGAAACATTTAGCCGCAGTGTTTCTTTCAACGGGGTGTCCAGAGAATAGGGGACTCTGCCCAGATAGGCTCCGGGGTCTGGGGCGGCTCTGAGGAAGTTTCCACGAGGGTTCCGCGAGTTCCGGGGTGGTCCGGGCGGGTTCCGCAAGGGTTCTGCAAGGTCCATAGGACGGTTCCAAGGGCGGTTCCAAGGCGCTGTTGGGGATATCGCCTGAGCTTATTTTTTCTTCTCCGGGTTATCAAAGTTCTATTTTTTTTAAGAAAAAAGCTGGTGGTGTTGCCCTTTATATCGCGGGGGATGACATTTGAGTATGGTAAAAATTGTCGATGCTGAGAGCTGAAAACCCCCAGCGGAAAGCTGGTTGGCGGACATGACTCTGCTCACTGGCGACACGTCCACATAGGATCAGAACCAGCTCTGGCTGGACCTAAGCCGCTACAAGGAGATGGGCACCTTGGTGACTGCTGGCATTCTGGACCAGGCACGGCGGCACGGGCATGGGATTCGTTGGGAGGTTTGCAAGTTGGCTGTTCCCATTTTGGGGTAGGTGCACCACCCATTTTAGATCCTATTTTATTAGTGGGGATTGGGATGTTCACTGGGGGTACGGGCTTTCCCATGGCCAGTTGTTTGGGTGTGGGATGTGTTGCGAGACAGGCTCTGAAAGCAAGCTGACTTATTCAGAAAGCCGAATCCTTCTGCGAGGTTCGATCCGCTTACCTTCACACAGCCATGGCTTGTTGCTTGCACAGCACAACTAAAGCAACAAAGTGCAAACTTTCAAATGTATGGTTTGCTGCAACGTTGGGCTTTGGGAATTCTTGAGGCTCTGTTTGGGCCTCTTCTGAGATGCAGCTGTGCCGTTTTTTCCAGCCTTGGGGCTTTCAAACTTGCAGATGCACCATGATGTCAACAGCTCGCGAGGATTTGGATTTTCTTGACACATCGCGAGCTGACGAACAAATTGCATTGGAGGTGCACGAGACAGACTGAGCTATCAATGGGAGCTTTAAAATGGTGGTTGTCCTTTTGATTTTCGTTTTATACAACAAAATGGCTGCCCTCAAAATCCAGCTGCGCTGTGTGTCTTCTTCGAGCTCAAAGAGAGGGCAACCCTACCCGTAGTGTTAAAACCCTCTAGGCCCCGTGCCGAAATTGGGTAGCTGTTCTGAGGTCCTTGTTGGTGTTGCTTCCCAAGTTCCATTGATCGCCATTTGGCTCAAGACACAATTGAGGTTCAAGATCTGATGTGTGACTGCAGACCTACGTGATCGGCATTAAGAGCAAAACACTGCTTGCGCGCATTTGTCAGGACACTGTGTAACTCTCATTCCTTCTTCCTTACAACGTTTACACGGGTTCGGCTATAACGGCATCGTCCGTATACACCTTTCTACGTGGTTGGTATTAAAGCTTGAGGGTTCGGTGCACAGCGTCCCACGGGACGTCACCTTGCCGTCTCTTGACAGGTTATCAGCCGTATCTACAAGCTCTACACTGGACTGGGAGACAGCTGGTTTATTGCGGGTACAGGGACAATAAAGGAACGATAACTACACAGTACAATGGCGTCTTCGGCGAGCCCAAGTACTGCAACTTTTGGGAACAGCAGCTCAGAGGGATCCAATGGATTGATGGCTCTTCCTGCGGTGATGGATATGATTGCAGATTCACAGGATGAACCTGGGAGCGGAGGTTCCGCGCTATTCAGCGACATATCTACTCCCACAAGATCATGGAAGCAGATCGATGTTCATCAGGAGTCGAAGAAAAGAGAATCCCCACCGAGAAGATCATCATCTTCGCCTGCGACACCACGGACGTCGCAGAAGGGCGTGAGATCGACATCGAAGGGTGGGAGGTCAAAATCACCCACCAGTGCAGATTTTCGCGCCGTGATCAAAGAGAAGAATAAGATGGAGGTGGAGATCGGGGAATATCAGAAGACACTTGATGAAATGTCGGCAGCAATGGCGAATCTTAACCAAGAAGACTATGGAAGCACCATCCGGATCCAGGAGCTGGAAAGACGATGCGAGATTGCCAGCAAGCAGTCGGGACATCTAGTGAGTCACCACCAACACCACATGGCTGAGGCATGGCGCAAGTTTGAGGAAGAAGCCCAACAGATGCGCAAGGTGGAAATGAACGCATTTCAGTACGGGGAGAAGAAAGACATGGAGTCGAATATTATGATGCAACAGATGAGGCAAGCTGAAGGAACTATCATGGAGCAGAAGCGGGAGATTGCATTGATGAAATCCTACATGGCAAGCGAGAAGTCGGCCGCGCAGGAATCAGCTATACGTGCAAATCAGATACACCGTGAGGCTTCACAACAGATATCAGTTTATCAGCAACAGATCAGAGGCATAGAATCTTCTACATCTATCGAGAAGTTCAACGAGGAGGAGATGGTCCAAAGTCTGAAATCACAGTTGGAGCATGCACTCGTCAAGCGCCCCGAGACGTACTCTTTGGAGGACTCCAGGGAACAGCTGATGGCGAGGCTGAATGACGTTACAGTATTTGCGGAACAGGAATCGAAGAGAGCAGATTGCTTGCTTCGCGAAAAAGAAGAGATCGTCAAACAGTATGAGTCCGACGTGTCGATGAAGGACCAGATGATTGCTGTCGAAGGTGGTCATCGTCAAGATGCGATCTTGGAGTTAGCCCAGGTCAAAGAAGAGAAACAAGAGGAACGGTGCACGATGGACGAGAAGTCGAAGGAGGCTGAGTACTGGAGATTGACAGCTAAGGGAATGTACGATGAGTACCTCGAGGAGATGCATGAGCTTCAGAGACAACTGAAAGAAAGAGAGGCGACGCTCAAGCAAGAAGAGAGTTTTGTACGCCAACTCGATGCTGACAACGAGGAACTACGTGCACACAAGAAGCTGGAGACACAGGAAGCCTCCAGCAGCAAAGATGGACATCGTGAACGAGCAGTAGTGAAACGCGCTGAGGGAGGAACCCAGGCTAATTCAAATAGGATAGACAAGAAGGTGGCTGGGTCAGTCCCGTCATCGTCTTCAAATCAAATCCCTAATTCGTCGCTGATGCCAGGTTCGATCCTCTTTCCGTCTTTCGGTGATCCAATGATCGATGTACACCTATCCCAGATGCAAGGGGTTGTTGGGCATGTCCCACAATCCACTGCTACTACGACTGGTGGTGGTGATGGAGGGGGAAACAACGGTACTACGCCCCCATTGGATTACGGTGGATTCCCGCCCAATGGGAATGGGCAGGGAGCGGGTCGACGTCAGTTGAGCCTCGCTGGTGGCGGAGGAGGACCTCCGGATGATCCACCCGATGATGAGGATGAGGATGACGACGACGAAGGAGATGAGGAAGACGAGGAAGAAGAAGAGGAAGAAGACGATCGGACACGGAGGAGACGAAGGAGATCGAGAGATAACCGAGAGATCAAGAATGATCGACCGAGAATCTCGAGGAAAGAGGCCGAGAGAGTATCTATTCCGGCCTGGCCAAAGATCCATCAACTTGACACCTGGAAGATGCAACTGCTGATGAATGTTCTGAGCGCATGTGCAGATCCAGATACCGACACATGGACGAAATGGCTGGAGCAGGCTCTTGGGTTGAACCCAGACCTGGATTTGCTTAGCGATTCAGGTGGCGACAGATTTGCTACGATAGATATTAAGATGGCCATGGGCATGCAGAACATGCTGAAACAAGCACCTGACGAAGCCAAGGACGTATACCTCGATGCTACACGACACTCTGAACTACGACATCAACAAGGGGTGATCGTGAAGGGACGAGAGTTGGTGGCATTAGTTATGCAATCATTCAGAACTTCCGATAGAACGGATCTTGTCTACCACATCGAGCATCTATTCAACCTTGACTTTCCTGGCGACAAGAACTTGGTCATGTTCAGGAACAAATGGTATGATTTGCTGCTGAAGATGAGGAGCGAGGACAGACCCAGTAAGCTGGCTCTCAGAGACATCCTTTACAGGAAGATCAAAGGGAGCAAGAAGATGGAGTTCGGCCTCAATGCCTACCATAGACTACCGGACAAGCATCCTCAGAAGACGTATGAATTCTTATTGGCGTTGATCGACTATCAGATCAAGGCAGATCGGGAAGACCTGATGCTCGACATGAAGGAGAAATCGGTCAAGTCGATGATGAAGTCAGGCGGGAAGGATGCGGCTCCAGCAACTGGCAAACAGGAGAACCAGGGTGGCAAGGGCAGAAAGGGGAAACCCGGTGGACCTGATGCCGCTCCTGTGCTCCCAAAGGCCAAGGCAAAGGGCCACGCTGGCAAGAACGGCAAGTCCGACGGTGCCAGCGACAGAGGCAAGAGTCCGGGCGGAAGCAAGGATAACCCCTGCTGGTACCACTTCAAATCGGCGAAGGGGTGCGTGAAAGGAAATGAATGCACTTTTTCCCACAGCAAGAAGACGGAGCATAAGTTGGAGAGCATGTCCAAGGGGAAAGGAAAGGGCAAATCCAAGTCCAGATCATCGTCACCAAAGAGAGATGATGGAGCATGCTTCGCGTTTCAGAAGGGGAAGTGCGATAGGGGAAGCGCTTGCAAGTACAGGCATGAGCTCATCAAGAACAATTCAGCTCCAGCAACGTCAAATGACAAGGCGCAAGCCAAGTCGAAGGCTACCGCCAAAGCCGCAGCGCCTGCCATTGCGAGGAGGGCCATCGCAATGCCCGCGATAGTCCTGAAGCAATCGGCTCCTGCAGGGAAGGTAAGCTTCAAGAAGGACGTTGATCAGGTCGAACCGGACGAAGCCGAGACTGTCTACCACGAGCACGATGACGACGCGATGAGCGAATCATCGAGATGGTCTGGCGAGTCCGAGATCCCCGAGAAAATGGTGTGGTTCAAGGAAGTGCTCGACGTCGACGAGAATGGGGAGATCACCTACCTCGAAGACGAGAGAAGGCAATGGGAACGAAAAGGAGAATGGTACGGTTATGAGGACAATGAGAATGAGCCTTATCAGTACGTGTACGTCGACGAGAAGAAGTTCAAAAGCAGTGATCATCGTGAATTATCAGCCTATCAAGTCCAACGATCATTGATACGTGCGAAGATACTGAGAGAAGTGGTGGATGATATATATAAGAAGCACTACTTCCCGGTGACCAAGGAGAGCAGCATAATGTTCGAGTATGATCGGAACAAGGACGAGATCAAGGAATCGGCTGTCGACTGGAAGAAGCAGCATGGTATGCCGAAGAACGTTTTCGCCATGTCAACGTGCATCAGCAAACGGGTGAAATGGTTGATGGACACCGGATGTGGTCATGATCTCATCGGAAGAGCCAAGGCGAAGAGCCTGGGTGTCGACATCGTGAAAGATGACGACGAGATCGTGTTCCAGACCGCGAATGGTTCCACTTCCACATCTGATGTGGCCAAGATAGTCGTGGACGAGTTGGACGAGACTGTCGAGCCGCATGTATTGGATGAGACACCCACGGTAT